TTCTTAGCATTTCTAGTTGGGCATGAATAACTAATGCTATATATCTGCAACCACGAAACCAGACAAAGAATTTCTGAACATGTAATTTACGAAGTGGGAGACTTAGAAAGGTGCTTAATCATTTTGTGCTTTGGTCCACTCATCTGTTAAGTGGGGATAACATATCTACTTTATAGTTATTGCGGGTATTAAATATATATACAGCAACTATCATAAAAAGTTCAATAGATGCTGGGATTTTTTTTTTCTTGTCTTTTTGAGACAGGGTCTCCCTGTAGCCCCAGATGGCCTGGAACTCACCACATAGACCAGGCTGGCCTCGAATTCACAGAGATCTGTCTACCTCTGCCTCCCCAGTGCTGAGATTAAAGGCATGTGCCACCATGCCCAGTGATGCTGGGATTTTTAAAAGTCAAATTCAATACATATAAGCCTGGGCCATTTATAAAAGAGAATATAGGAGCCCCAGTACCACAAAGTAGACAATAAAAGGCTACTTTTAGAAACAAGGTAAGAGGCAAATAACTAGCACATCAGACTTCTCCAACTCTGGGTTGCCTTCCTCAAATTTATGAATTTTTGGTCTACTTATAGATAAATGCAGAATAAGGACACACTCATGAATCACATGACACTAACTTAAAGAGCACTCAGTATCAGCTACATGTAAGAAAATATTTCTTATATGTAGACATATATATATATAAAACACAACTGAATATAGTAAAATACATACAATAACAGCTTGCATAATAATTTCATGTTTTATAATACACAAAACATATAATGTATTATGAAATGATCTAAGCCACTGTCCTCTGTCCTTCTCCTCTTCCACCCTCAAAAATGCACTAAAGGGATTCTCCATGCTCATGCCCTATCTCAAGAGGCAAATCACTAATTCTGCCCAGAGCGAGCCCAGTTCTTCTTTCTCGCTCACATCCAGGGGAATCAGTAGGAACAAAGAGCTGCTTCTTGCTGTACTGGGAAGCTAACAGCAAGTGAATATTAAAGTTCACCAACCACAAAGGACCTCGAGAAAGCCTCCATCAGGTTTTCTTCCTTGTTACATTCAGCAATAAGGAAATTCTGGGCACTTGATGGTGCCCCTCAGAATAAAAACTCAGTATTCATAAAATTACCCCTCTTTGCTGCCAAAGAACAATGGGGCTTCGGTAATTTTCTCCTTCTAAAGCAGAAACAGATAAGGCATGACTTCAACACCAGCAAAATGTCAAGACCACTCCAACATGCACTTGTTCTGCACCAGCATGTGGGCTGGTTAACAAGGCTTCGTGCCTTGGCCAGAGGCTGCCCCTAACTCCCTTCAGCTGTTTGCAAAGGAGAGCCATAGATTGGAAAGCGTGGTGAGGCACTACTCCCTCTCAACTTGGAAAACACAGAAGCAAAAAGTCATAAATGTCTCTTCATCATAATTCAAAGGAATTAGCACCAGGTAAAGTCCTTGCATAAGTGTTCATAATTATATTCCAATATACTCTCTCGGGCCTTATGGAAGATGAAAAACATCACTACTTTTTCCATTCCAGGCAATCTGTTAAAAGAAACCAACATTCTTGTAAACAGATTCCAAGCTATCAGAAGGGTAAATTAAAAATATACTTGTGTGTTGTGGATACATTCTTCAAACCATTTGTCAGATTCTTGTTCTAGCAAGAATCTTATGACTGGCCCTATAACTTCTTAAGCTGAAAATTAATCTTTATATTCTAGCTTCTTCCAATGAAATAACTAATGCATATGGCTTTTTAGCATTTATTAGTTATGTACATCATTAAGAAAATCTCACTTGGGCATGGTATAATTCCAGTACCTGGAAGGTAGAGGCAGGAAGATCAGGAATTGAAGGCTAGCCTCAGCTACATAGTAAGTTTGAGACGTTCTGGGGTTACATGAGACCTTATTTCATATATATCATTTCACAATATGTTCTGCTGTTTTATCTCTTTGAACAAAATTATTACCTAACATACCCAGTTTTCTTTCTTGGAGTAGCCCTACTGAAGAAGAAAAGACTTTCACATTATCTGCCCTGATCATATATTCTAGCAGAGAGCATAAGTCACACAGAATATAACTCTAAGCTGGGTGTGGCGACTCATGTCTTTAATCTCAGCACTTGGGAGGCAGAAGCAAGCAGATCTCTGTGAAATCGAGGCCAGCCTGGTCTACACAGTGAGCTCCAGGCCAGCTGGGGCTACAGGGAGACCCTGTCTCAAAAAGACATCTATATATAGGCGTGTGTGTGTGTGTGTGTGTGTGTGTGTGTGTGTATGTATGTATATACACACAACCATGGTGATCATAATACCCCTGCCCCCCAAAAACATCCTAAATTAGGGACATTCAAGTATTTTTTAACTATTGTAGAAAATGGAATTCCAGTACCTTTGTCTCACACTTATTATTATAGAAGCTCTGTGTCCATTTCTAAAACAGTTATGCACAAAGGTCCCTAGAGTTTGTATGTTTAGATTTGAAGACCAAATTAGAGATTTAGAAAAGACTACAAACTTTACACTAGAAGTGCAGACTTAGAATCAATCCAAACATTAGAGGGTAGCAATTATTAAACAGTGAGGAAATATTAAAATGGTTACCACCTTTTTTTCTATAAATGATTTTTATGGTCATGACCAGCAAGAAATAGAGATTCGGAACTCATGTTGAAGGAGTCTCTTCAAGCTGACTGCAATACTGTGTTCCCTCATGCACCAATCGCCCTGGGTGCCACCTGTACACAAGTGGTACTCACCGGTTCCCTCTGCCCGGGGTGCTCCATGCTCTTTTGGAAGGAACAATACCAACTCCTACAGCTTTAGTGATCCCAAGGATCAGAATCCACTTGTCTTTTGTTTCTTAACTTGTTACTATTATTATTATTATTATTATTATTATTATTACATGTATGGGGGGGTAAGCATGTGCAGGGTGCTCATGTGGTGATCATGCACAAGTGGTTCTCTCTTTCCTACTTTGTAGGTTCCAGGGATCGAACTCAGGTCTTCTGGCTTGACAGCAAGTGCCTTTACACACTGAGCTATCTTACCAGTCATCTTTGTTTCTGTTGAGTCAGGGTTTCATGTAGCCTAGGCTGGCCTTGAATTCCCTATGTAGCCAGGGAGTTCCTTAAGCTTCTGATCCTGCTGCTTCTACCTCTACAGTGCTGGGGATCAAACCCAGGGTTTGATGCATGCTAAGCAAACAGTCTACCAACTGAGCTATATCTCCAGGCCCAGAATCAGGAAGTCTTTTGAGGTCAAACATTTTGTTATGCCTCCAAGATATACTTACTACAAACTATACTGAAGAAATAGCTCAGCTGTATCTTCCTTAATTTCTGTCAGTAGTTCAAAAAAGACTACCACAGCTCCAGCACAGTTCCCCAAAATATAAAGTAAGGGCTGGGTTTTTTGAGAATTTTGGATCCTACCAATGCACAGAGCACAGTGCAGGGAGCGTAGCTTGCCCAGCATGTGCAAGGCTCTGGGTTCAATTTCTGGCTCTGCAAAATAAAAAAAATTTAAAAATAAGTGAATGCACAGAGCTGGTGCCAATAAATGAATTGCAAAAGAACATAAAGTGTTCATCTAGAAATCCTCAGAAATAAATAAAAAGCCATGTGATAAGAATAGGAGATAGGAATTGGCTAGGCAGTTAGGGTAAAAAAGACCCCAAAGAAAAGTAGCCAGTTCCCTGGCTAAAAGCCAAAATGTCCTTGGGACTGTTAGCAACATACTCTGTTGAAAAGGCCCAAAAAATCAAAAAAATTTTG